AAGGTATGGGTATAATTTGAAGGATATACGAATCAAATTTGTTCATTTTTATTAAGTTACGCATAGAAAAACATATGAGCAAGTCTAAAGCACTAAATCTCGTGTTTAATTGTAAATCTGTGAATCATTTGCGATCAATGTTGACCTCAATAATACTTTGATGGATTGACTTATTGTATATATTCTTTTAAAGTCACATTTTTCAGTCCAAACCGTTTTTGAAGTTGATCAACAGGACGTTAAATCATGGATCTACTTCAAGTTTCATTTCTAGTACAAAGTAGAATTTTTTGTTCAAGGTTATGCTCTAGTCCTAAACACGAATTCAAGGAATATAGATGACGGACTCGAGAAAACATATTTTCACGGCGATCGTCTGGTCGTGATTTGCCGCCACTAGGGATGTAATTTTCAAATTTCGAATCGAAGCGATTCGAATCAATCTCAATTCGAATCGATTCGAAGCAATTTAAGAAAAAACGGCTTGATTCTATTTAAAACAAAATGATAATTTAGATAACACGCGGCGATTGCACGATGCAGGGACGGGTCTCAACATCGACCAAAAGCGTTTATTTCCCCTATGTTTACAGCATTCCCCGAGTCGGAACACTATGAGTATTTTACATAGGTCACGGCATTAGAGGAAATCATGTTTTTTAGACTATTTAAAATGTTAAGAAGTTTTACAAATCTAACATTATATAAACGTTTCTATTAATTACCTATGTAATGCCATTATAATAACAACATTATTCCTCATTTAAAACATGGGTCTGCGATTTCTCCCCTCGGTATCATGTGCTTTCCTCTAAAATACGGCTCAAACGGTACGAACACATATTTCAATGGCGTTTGTCATTTGGATGAATATTGAAAAGTAATTTTAGAAGAAACAATCACTATACAAACTACACAAAACTCCTCTGATATATATAAGGTAGTTGATGCAACCATTCAATGTGTTTTTCTACTAACAATATTCATTCTTCAAGTTCATTATTGATATCTTATCACATTTTATGCAATAGTTCTTCCAAATTTAGGGAAAGTTAACGCTAATATGATGTTATGCTAAATAGAATCAGATTCGGAAATATTCGAATCGGAACATTCCGATTCGGAATTCGATTCGAAAATGAAATATTCCTTAGGCCCGCCATCCCTAGGCCCGCCACCATTCTATTATTTAATCTCGCGGCTTGCGACTGTCACCACGTGGTGAAGTTATGACACCGTATAATGCCGAACGAGAAAAAAAACTAAAAATCTGATAAGGTCAGTTAGGTAATACTGGTGGAAAGGGAAAATTTTTCAATGCTTTACGTCTGGCCATGACAAATATTTAGATTATATATACTGTACTTTCACATAAACTCAAGTAAATAATGTATGAGACAAAATGAATGTTGCAAGAATTACACAGCTTAAAATTACACGTTGCGTTGGGATGTATCGTATTTTTTGACTAAATTACAAGAATTAAATTATTAGAAAAGTTTTTCTTTACCGTTGTTTGACACATCAATGTTAAGAAGGGAAAATATCAAATTTCTTTCACGTTGTATGCGTGTGAAATTGCATCACAGCATATAAAAAGTTGAAAATCACTGAGCTCTATATTGGGCTCCAATGCTAGCTTTGGATATTCAATATAAATAAAACTGTGAAAAAAATCAAAAATTTTGACCCAAGATTTTCCCATCTTTAAACTCACTGACTTTCTATAGTATTTAGCACACATATCCAACACACACACACATATGGCACACACACATATTTGGCTCACATATCTTCATTTTTTACTTGGAAAGATACTACCTTTGAAACAAATTTTCAATATCATGGAACTTTCATCACCAATTATAATTTCCACATCACTTAGCTGTTAGAATGATATAGATTGGGAATCAAAGTTCCACGTTACTCATTTGTAATTTTAAAAATAAAATGAGCTTTTCTCATTAGTCTTGTCCCGCCCTTTGAGCTTTTGGTGATGACAAATCGTTCATTTACGCCTTTTTTCGATGAACTTTGGCGTTCGTGACAAGGGCTGTCACGTTTTCAAAATATCTTCTATGTACGACATGATGAATAACCACCCTGTTGTTTTGGACATGAAAAATTAATTTTTACTTGTCATTTGGAGAACAAATTTAGGTAATACTTAGGCTTATTTTTGGTTTCGGTACTTTGTCGACGAAAAACCCTGCAATCAACCACATATTATGCATCTATCAAGTTGGGACTAGGCAATAAATTATTATAATTATGCTAGAACCAATGAATGGAAGCACGAACAGACAAGGGTGGATCCAAAATCATGCTTTGTATGGGATACAAAGCTGTTTATAGATTGATAATGTGAAAGCCAAAAGTGTAAAGAAATCAGAGGCGTTTTAGGCAGCTTACTTTCGTTAAGGTATTACTCTTCACATCCATATTTAATGTATTTTGTATCGGGAAAATCTAGATTTTGCGGGTTGATTCACTCGGGATAATTTACTTACATTTTAATTAAACATATATATGGGGGGTTTTGTTATCTTGTTTTCCGTCAAATTGTTTTGTAATGCGGGTTTCTCACAGTTTCATATTACAACTTAAATAGAAACCATTTTTTTCCATCATATAATTCCGTTCAACGATCGTTCAGATTTAGAGTAACATGAAAAAAGTTTCAACAATTTTGTTCCGAAAGCACATAAGTAAACTTGTATGACGTCATAAAAATGCTCTTCATTAAAATTACATTAGTTGTGAAATGATTGCTCATCATTCTTTATTTTGCTACGGTTACGTCACAATAGTAGAAAATATCAGGAGAAAAGTGATTATCTTGCAATTTTATTCACGTTGAGGATATTAATACCTCCATATCTTTATATTTTTTTAGACTTATATCAGGTAACATTTTCATAGTATTCTAAGACCATCGCAAAAGCATTGATTTAGGAGGTATCTTGACCCTCCGAATATTATATTCCCATATTGCACGTCTATGATTTTTTTTATCAAATACTTTTTATGTATGTGTTGTTCTCTATTTTCAATGAAATGATCTAGAAACATTGCGAAATATATAACATTTCCGCACTTACAAAGCGGCAAGTCATTTACAGCGCTGGAATCTAATCATTCAAAGTAGCTATCATGAATATTGATGTTCTGCTTCCAATTTCATACGACACAAACGTAATCTGATCTTGATTCCGCATCGTCAATCAACCTTTCATACATTAAGACCAGAACTCGAGAATGATTCTATTTCACTTTCAACTGGTATTTTCCGATAAGGTGTGTCTTTGATGATATTAAAAATATAGACCCAAAACAGATAAAATTAATGCGTAGATTAAACTGGACTAAGATTCAGCATAACAATATATTTTTTTATAAATATTCTTACCAATACTTAGATTTTTAATTTGAATAGCGTTATATTTATTTTATTATTTACTCGCATTAAAAGTTTACACCGTAATTCTAACTCGAAGTCTTCTAATTATTTTTAGTTTAAAAAAATTTTGCAAAAGTTATTTCCCTTTACGAATTGGAAGCAATATTATATTAAAATTCTTCAAATTTTATTACTAAACTTTTAATTTTTGAAAGACTTTTAACAAGAGTATTTTCAATTGAAAACGTTTTTATATATGTTACTTAGATGCATATTAACCATAATTTGGAACTGGTTGGTTAAATTTTACATATTTTACCTGAAGGTATTTATTTCATTCAATAGGTATAAATTTCCCCGAGTTTCCAATTAAATGTAAACGTATGTCACGTCACTTAAGCTTGGCCATTGTTTTAATGAAGTCAAATATATGTCGAAATATCTAGTGTTGTTTAATTGTATTTTTTTCATTGAAATATTTTGGAAAAATTCGACTTTAATGAGAACATTTTTGAAACGATTTGGCTTAACACGATAAAGTGACTTGAAATTAACTTGACTTGATGAACTAGTGAAACGATTCAACTCGATAAATTTTGTTAAATTAACTTTAGACTAATTAATGTCCTGTGAATAATGGCTTGGAATATTTCGAACTCATAAATTACCAGAACCAATTCAAACATCATATTTACTCATGTGATTGACTTGTATTGATCGTATCGCATTTTAAACGGGGTCATGTGTTATACCGTAAGGAGGGGACTAGTTAGGCAGACTGTTTTTATCTGCAAACCTGACTTTTTGAACTATTCTGTGATCAGAGAACAGTCCAGTATTTCACAAAGTTATCAGTCCATCTACAGACTATCGTGGTTTTAAATACAATTTTAGGTAAAACTATCTTGCATATTCATCAGTAACCTTGAACAATTGACATGCGCTGTGAAGAATAACATCATTTGTAAATGCACTGTCGGATTAAATTGACAAATCATGACCCATCTATATAACGTTCAATCCGATTGACGATTTTGTATTCTAAACATACAATTAGCACATCAAATAACTATGTGTGAATTATTACTATTGTTGAAACTAGAAAACAATTCAGGATTTTACCACACGGAGAAGCGCAATTTCCGGGAGTAAATCATATCTGCTCCTGCAATATGCAAAAACTTGATTTGTCGTTATATTTATGCAACGCGTTCGGTTTTAACAGATTATTATCGTAGCTCGGCTAGCTCATGCTATGTCGACGACCCATGGCCCAATTGGTGGATTGAAAGCCATATCTTAAACACTTGAATGTTTTTTATCCGCATGCATCTTTATCATTTAGGCTAAAATATGTACTAAGAAATCGAATTCAAAAGCTGTCTTATGTCCTTAACTAGACCTCCACTTTTCACGACCTCATTTATTCATGTTGTTTATTAAATTGATATAAGAGGGTAATCAAAATTCTGTCACGAAGGTTATGAAATTTAAAACTAGGTACTGATATATTTCCCTTTTTTCATCAGCGCAAATACATTCGCTCATTATTTCAACAAGGAAAACGCGTGGGGATATTAAATTCGCATTTGTTTCTACAAGTGTCAATTGCATTCATATAGAAGAGATTTCTTCTTTTCTTTTAATGTAATTATTTTATTCCCATGTTAAAATGACAAAAGAAAAGCTTGTTACTGACTCAGAAAGAAAAAGTGCGATACTATCTATAAGTAAGCGGTGCATATGAAATGAAGTCAGTACTGTTACAACGAGATTTGTAGGACGGACAACGTTGGATAATTTGAAAGACGATCCACACAGGTATCGATCAGCTACTACGGGGCATTGGCACAATTTCAATCAAATATTTACGTTTTATACAATTGGAAGTTTGTATAACGCACTTCGCATTATTGTACTAGGAAGCATTTGTTACTGTGAGATTCTCATACTTTATGTCTGCTTATTCAATTCGTTATTAGGGATGATTATTTCGAATCTAATATTCGAATCGAAGAGTAATTTATTCGGATTGGTTCAGATGAAAATTTCGAATCGCCACCATCTGTTTTTTTTTCGTCCACCGAATATGATGATAAATACTTCAATTTTATTTATGACAGCCATATTATTAAAATGCAATTCTGTCTTATGCCATTTTTTAATGAAACATGTTTATTATAGTGTGCGACGACTCAGCCAACTATGTTTTCAGTAATTTATATGTCTGCAAGATCTATTACAATAAAAAGTCAGATACAATACGTATCTTCCAAGTATTCGAGATTCGATTCGGAAACCATAAGGTATTCGCAAATTCTCAGCCCTAGTCGTCAAATAATGCTTTTTTGTCTGATTTCAGCAGAACAATTTCTTTATTCAAAATATCAAAATGAAGAGCAAGTTACAACAACGTAATAAAAGTTGGACAAAGTTAGCAAAACGAACTTGGGCGTTTGTTGCCTCTCTTTGCCTCTTGGCAATTCCTCTATCTGCTGGAGCTCGTATACACCAGACCAGTGACGCCAGGGAAGAAGGAAAACTGAAAATTGATGACACCAGTCTACGCGGTGGACGTAAGCTTCACGGTATGTTGATTGGCCACTGAATTTTGGCTGAGTCAATTATTGGTTGCCCTTATGTTCCATTGCCAGTAAAACTTATTAACGCATATGCAACAACTTTTTCAATCACTAGTGCATAGTACAATGAAAGATTGATACTTTTAATGGCTACTCTAAAATTGTCTGATGTATTTAGAATCTGAATACGCAGTTTATCAGTCATGTGAGATCAACTCACCTTCAAATTACACACATAATCTGCTAAGCTGCAATACAATTAGAACAGACTAAATCACCGCACATGTTATGTAACAGAAGAGGACATTCGCCATATCACATCAAACTTTGACACAATAAATGCACCAATAACCACGTCTTCAGTACAAATGTTCACCATGCTATGTGTCATTTGTAAATTTTATGAGAACTTCCATTAAATTGTGTCACTCTAAAGTGAAAGACTTCTCCCAGCTGGTGTGCCATGCTGAATCTCTATTTTCGATATTTGCGCTTTGATTAATCCTGTTGCAGTAATTTTTGAAAAATTTCCAGAAATTTTGTTGTTATTCATGCACACCGCTGTGGTGAATGATGTTAGCTTTGTTACATTAAATATGAATGTTAATCTTCAAAATGTCATGGTCGTCATTGTATTAAGTGGATTCACAAAACGACAATTTTGATCCTGAGGTTGATAAAATTTGATCACTGAAAAGAGACACTGCATATTCATTGGTTCAGTGGTTCTGCTTAAAAATAGATAATTCATATAAAAAATTGATCACTATTCGTTGCGTCAACGAAAAACCTGAAATCTGAAAAATAAATGACATTTTTGTGATGGTTTAGCTTTCAACGTAAAAATATAAAATGAAACTATTGCATTATCAATACATTCATTTTTTTCAGATGTCAGCGGACTTGTCGAATTTCAAATTGCACTCAAGAAAATGATTGAGGAATATAAACAACTACAACATGAATTAGAGTATTGTAAGTCGACTATGTCAACTGGAGGAACGACAACAGGTAAAAATTAAATTGTTTTCAGTAACGATACAAAATACCATGCTTTTATTTATTGAAAAATTATTAAATCCATCAATAAATGTCTCTACTTAATGATTTTGAACTGAAGTATATGGAATACCACATACTGTACAATCATTCACTTCAATAATATATTTTTCACAATAAATTTAAAACTACATAAAGTTACTGTATTTCAATAATGTCGTGTCAAATTATGCCTAATTTAAGAAATGGCTTCAAATTTTGCAACACTTAAGTCGTCAAAATTGAATTAGCCTGATATTTGTGCGTCAATATCGACATTTTGGTCCACAGACTGTATCACCCATAACTTCAATTAAACCATATTTTCTCTCGGCGTTTTGTTTCAAGACTCATCTCGCCAACGTCCACATTCGTACGATGACGTAGTCAGTGACCAAGACGAGAGAGATATTGACATAGGAGAGAGAAATTACTACGGTTGGATGCCTTTTGGAAAATGATAGTTCGCCCAAACAGTGAAACATTCTTATTCGATTTTACTTCGGACATTCAAATGAGAATCAACGAGTTCCAGTCAAATGTTATTTATTACTCTGTATTTGTGTTGTTTTAATTGGCAATTTCGTAGCTGCACAAGATCAGATAATAATATCTGACAAAATGGCAATGCGACGTGCGATTTGAAGTACTATCAATTGGTATTGTAATAGCATAAAACAATTGTAATTGCATATTATTTATCGTTTTTTTTTTCAAATACATTTTTCTTCCAATATATCGATATTGTATAAACAGGCATTGGGTTGTTTCAGTATGCTAACTTATACGAACAATAGTCACCAACCAATCTCTCTAATACGTAAGGGTTGGTAAATCTTACGAAGGTGGGTACGGCCATGTTAAATCAGCGCTTAGGCGACTCTTGGATATTTTCGTGAGCCGGACTCGAACCATGTAATAAAATCTTGCGCCTGATGTGATTCTGAGAAACAAGATCGAATATAACTCGAATTTCAGTCATGTCGATGTTTATTGCCTTAAACCAGTGGTCGGCAACCTTTTTCAAGTGACGGACCGGTAAAGTCTGACCAAATTTTTGGCGGACCACCTTTATACAAATGAACTAAGCCTATGCAATAAGTTATACGCATTAGCTAATTTATGTTGACAATATACTAAAAACGACGGTGATGCTATTTAATCCGATATCTGTATTTGTTTGATGACTATTAACTGTTTCCATATTCGAGATATGGTCGACTTGACACACGAAACGGGTTTCTTACACTTCGATATTTCGTTTTTGTAGTAATCAATATTGAAAACCAGGCCTCACAATAGTAAGATTTCGAGAAAGTTAACAATGCCTGTATCATTTTGTTGGGGAGATCTTATTCGGACTGATGAGAAACATTCTTATATGGGCGTAGAGAAAACAATTTACCCAGCAATATTGCGACATACTGACATGGCATTTGTTTATAAAGTCAGACATACTGCTCAATAGTGTTGTGCAGTGATCAGCAAACTTCATGTACTTGCGGACCAAATATATACATTACCGGTAGCGCGCGGGCCGCAATATTACATTAATTAAACTTCAAATTCTGACGCATTCGCATTACTGCCCTTGCTCTGTTGAAAGCCTGTCCCAATGAGATGTGTATGTGTCGTTTTTTTCAATATATTATCCAACAATACATTGTTTTTATTTACTTAATATCAATGTGAAAGATGATGTTTTTATAACAACTTGTCGTCCAAATGATGATCTGACAAGCGAGTACGATATTTAATCTAAGTGGAATGCATTTCAGATAAAGCTGCTCAAGGCCATATGTTCTTCCGAACGTGCAAATTACACGTTTTGCACTGTCGCACAGATTACCTAGTCCCGGGTTTTCGACGACTCGTTTCGTAACGAGTTTAACATTGAAACCCTTAACAACTGCGATGCTGACTGGGCATATAGAGCAAACCGGTTTTGGAATGCGCAAGAAAGAAAAAATATTTAATCGTTCAAGCACTTTGAAATGCTCGAGCCTCATTTTCAAATTTTAAAAATTAAAATTAACTCGAACGACATACAACTGACTCTACTTGTAACATAACAAGCGCCGTACAGCAGCACTTGTCACTACATAAATCCGTGTAGAGGCGATAATAAATTTGGGATCAATTTTTGTTTTATGTATTAAATGTCGGGTCGTTCGAGGGCCGCAAGAAATTAGTACGCCGGACGCTTTGGCCCGCAGTTTGCCGACCCCTGGTGTTGTGTTTGTCTGGTTTACTGTTGGGTGCTGTTTTTAGTCGTAGGGTTTATGGTTACATTGTAGAGGTCATATTACGGCCTTGTTCGTTTTTGTGTCACCTCTCCGTGGCGATGGGCCGCGGCCCGGTGGTTGCCGACCACTGCCTTAAACGTTTAAACATGTAATCGTTTCTGTCACGGTTTCGAAAGCAAGAAACCGTCGCTTTTGGAAGTTTGTTCTGATAAAGCAGGGGTTTCCAAACTGGGGTACATGTATCCCCATAAGTTAATTTCGACTTCACAAGGGGTACATTAGATCAAGTATAGTATAAGTCTATTCTTTCCGTAACTCTAAATCCGCCTTAGAATATTTTTATCGCCTGATGTTAATAACTTGAAGACCTGAATTAGGAACCCCCATTAGTAAGTCACATTCTCTCCCCAGTAGAAACTTTAACTGCAACTACAGAAATTACCAAGTCTACGTTCGCATCTAATTTCTACGAGAAAGTAGTTAAGAAAGCTGAAAAACCAATAGAGTCGTCTCCTTTTATCGAAAATAAAATTTACATAGCACCAATCTTATCTTGACAATCAATCATGGTCTAATACTGTATCAGAATTTCGGTTTAAAAAATCCTAAATCTGAGATCAAAGAGTTGGTCACTAAACATCTTATGAAGTCGGAAAATGAAATTGAATGAAAATCATGGTGAAGTCGAAATTGCATATCTTAGGAATCCTTTCATCGTGAAGGCTCAGACACCGCAGAGAAATTAAAGTGGTTCTTGGTCCACGGTGTGCGAGTCGTATAAAAAGAGTCGAGATTTTCAGTACTGCTTGGAATCACAGATCACAGCTCAAAACACCTTCAGCCGATGTATTGTTCGTTTGATTGTAGTGTGTTTGTTTAAGCTTATATTACATTGTTATTTAATAATTTCGTGTGCTTTAATTAGTAATAAATCTAAAGTTTTTATCAGTTTATATGGCATGTAACGGGTTGCCTTGCTATAGGATATATGTTGTGCATCAGAGCAACTTAAGTAGCCAAAAATATTAGACTATTTATGAGGTGCACGAAAGAATATAAATTGCCCAATTGCCCAAGGGTTGCTGAGAAACAAAAAGTTTCGGAAACTCTGTTATAAAGTCTATGCCATGGAATACAAGTAAATGTTATTTAAAATCTATTCCACGCATTTATAGATATTGGTTTAGCGCTTTGAGCTTTTTTCATTTAATTTAAATCATCATGACTTGGTCAAATTGGCTCCTCAATCTTGTCTTATATTTGTGCTTGAATTTCGCATCTTACTTCTGTATTGAGACCAATAATTTGAGACCTAATGCGACCAAACTCGAATCATACAAGAGAAGACATAGTTTTTTTTACAATTTCCTCAAAGCAAGGTCACGTGCATTAACTTAGACGTAATGGAGACTGATCTCTTAGCAAATTCAAGAGTCAAGAATTCCTGAAGCTAATATGCGATGATGTATTATTACGCGCCAGCAGAATTACTCGTGGTTTAGACCTAAAAAAGCAATACGATTTGAAGAAACATTTCGCGAGACAGAGCGCTATAGTTTCGGGAATAACGATGTAAGTTCTTCTGTAGTGTATTTTAATCACTTATAAACCCTTTTCACGCTTGCAAGATGTGAAATAACATATTTGCACGGATTGATAAATGGGGTTGTGTGGCAAGTGAAGAGTGTTTTGAAGCAGATGATTGGGTATAGGCTTGCACGTAATTGACAAAAATCAATTCCGTAATTACGGCCAAATCGATTACGTAATGACCCCGTAATTGCGATATTTTTTTCACACATTTAAACCTAGCATACCAACCAATTTAATCCACTTCTATTCCGAATGGGACATCGAAGTTTGGTTTTCATATTCCCGGCAGTACCACACGCCGGAGACAGATGTTAAAGACAAATATCAAGGAGTGAATTCAAAATAATTTTATTCTGATTTTTATCTTTTGTATTAGCTTTGATTTTCCTTTATCAACTTTATCACCAAATTTTATGCGATCAATTTTATCATTACCAACACTGGTAATATATTTAAGAAACGATAGTTCACTTTTTTTAAATCGTATTGACGTATTAATACGACTTTCGTATTGAATAAAAACTCCGGGTTGCTAATTTATTAATCAACTACAAGCGTATTCTCTCGTTTGATTATACTTTCGCTTGCCTCGCGACGAAGACTTGTTATTTCACCGTTTTTTACAATATCCGACTTTACTACTTAGTTAGCATTTTATAATAATTATTGATGCCGACTTATTGACGATATTCCGAATTCCATGCTTCATTTTACATTAAATCATTTCGCGGCCTAAATGTTATAACATTATTTACGATAAATTTAGATCAAATATTAATTATTTGCGCATTATTTAAAATACCGTACTTATATGACATGCCTTCTCCGAAAATACAAAGTTATATCGCAAAACAATGCATTTTGTGACATTTATTTTGCACTCATGAAATATTAATTTATTTTTCTAACTCAAGTCGACAATCCTATTTGCCAAGATTGACACAAGTTTGTCGAGTGCCGGTGGTATTCAGGTCGACGATAAATCAAAATAAGTTGCCGCATTTGGTAAAGACAGGTAATCATATTTGGCCGACATATTGCGATTTGCGAGGCATTGTGAAAAACATATTGAGCAATGCCAAGTCCGGACAGATATATAACGATAAAACCGGTAACAGAACATCAAGATTTTGTAATAGAAAATGGATTTCGCGCAGAATAAACACGGGAAATCCCGTCGTAATGTTGTTTCTCTGCCGTCTCAATCGCTTTACCGATGCCGAAAGGACTAAGTTGCGTTGGTTCATTACGCAATTTCTCTTCCGTCTCTTGCTGTTTGATAAGCGCGACATTAATTATCACGACATTTACAAATAGACCATGTTTTATAAGTTGATCTCTTACATTCTTCACTCATTTCACCCGAAGAAGTTGAAACCAGGTGTGTTGGCGTCCATCGGTCTCGACACAATTCTATTCCTTATTTACGGTTAATATGTACATTGGCCATCTTAGATAAGTTGATAATAGGTTAGTAAATGACGCGTTATGCCCTCCCCATCTGCCTAACAAGAGAGAGAAAAACGGCTGCGAATACCGGAACTCTAACTTCTTTTACTTAAACTTTAATTTTTTACAATCGACGGAATTGACTGCTCTGAAGAGAGCTCGTTTCAATCGCGAAAGCGCTCGACCAATAATTACGACTTTACGTAATTCGTGACTTCGCTTGCGTAATTCGAAATAATTCCGTAATTCCGTAAATTTGTAAATTACGTGCAAGCCTAATTGGGTACATGCTTCTCAAAATTTGATTGAATTCCATGTTTGTATCTCTGGGTGTCAGAATTGACTCGTTGATCCAGAGAAACAACTAACAGTATAAATTACCACACAAGAGACTACATGAACTTGTCTTGCTATGGTTTAAAATTATAAATATTCATGAAAGTTTCTGCAATTTCAGGTTCATCTGATAAGAATATCAGATATATGTATACTTTCCATAGTATCATTACAAGTATGCAATTACATGAACGACATAAAATAGTTAGAAATATGTATAAAAAGTGTCGATTTTGCACAAGAAAAATTGAAAAAGACGGATGTCATCATAGATGCCAGAAAATCGAAAAAATAAATTTGAAATTTCAGTATAAATAGCCTTTCTGAATTAGATTTCGCGTTTTATGTTGTTGTCAATCGAGTGAAATGATTGTGCGGCGATAAGATTAGAAATCTACGAGACAATAAAACTGTATTTGCTATACATCAGTTTGAAAATTACGATTAGGAAGGCCCTTAGAATTTTTTCTTTGAGTAGCAAAGTAAACATAATTTCGATTTAGTCGTACCTTTTTACAGTTTGAATGCTAACCTATCTTTTTTATTATATCAAGTTCATTAACCTAAGATAAATGATAATTGATTAAACACCATGTGTTCAAAGAGGAACGATGTTAACTTTGTGTCAACTATCCGCACTCTGATTTTTCTCGTTTTGTTTTCGACTGTGGCTCTTGGAGAAACTCGAACACCCCGAAGCGATCCTTCAAAGGAAATAGAGGACAATAGCTTTTACGCAAGACTCAAAATGCGAGGTGAAACTAGTAACACAAAATTGTGCATGCGAATGTTATCACTAAACCTAACCTCACTGTACTATTCAGACTGTCATCAGAATGAACTTGTTTTGAAGGTTGAAATACATACGGTATATATGTATAAATGATATGTATTGAATGCACACGTTGTTGCATGAAAATCTCATAACAAAACGAGGAATCTAATAAAGTAACAAACCAAATATTTCGGTCGGATTTCCATAATAAACCATTTTATACACTTCAAGTCTAATATGTCATACATACATGTAAGTGGTTTCTGATTATCTAATCCAGCGTTTCCCAACCTTTTTTGTCCGCGGACTATTTTCTTATCAGCGAAAACCTTTGCGGACTCAAGGTGCGTTTATTGCAACCGCACTTTGTGTGAAGAAGCGCTAAAATCAAACACAACAGAATTTAACAAATTTCAAAATTGGAAATTCGCGCAATTACGCGTTCGTTAGAAAAGCCAACTTTTTGTGTATAATGGCCTTTTCTGTCGCACGATATTCAATCCATGACAACGACGACAATTTAAATGTCTTTCTATTATAATTTAATTGTGTTCATGGTAACTCGCGGTTGCGTCGACTTACAACAAGATGAAAGCATTACTTCTTCAAAATGCCACGGCAATCTGTGAACATAATAATGTGAAAATATATTGCCCCATTATATATATTTAGTTATAATACATATTTTTTGCGATCTTGCGAACTTGTAATCGTCGTTAGAAAAATCCTACTATCTGCTATAAATTGCCAGAAAGTACAACTTGATTTAGTACTTATTAAAAATATATTTAAAGAATATTAGTAAATCAAAAATCATTAGTGAATCAAAAATCATTTTAATCTGCGGTTGTGTTGACAAAATGAAAGCAACGCTGCTCAGAAAGTATCATGACAATCTGTGGACACAAAAATGCGTGGCCCGATTATATTTTGTTTTAATTAATTCGTATTTTTGTGAATTCGATAAATCTGAGCTGTTGGTACAACACTTACGGCGCTCCAGTACTGTACGTACCAATGTAGAGGCAGTAAAGCGAAGAATCCTAAGGAAAAATGCCCTGGTACGTATACTACAGTAGCACTTGAAATTTTGACTTTTGCAATGTCTAAAAAAAAGTTATTAATCGGTCGCGGATCATCATAAAACAAAACTGATAGCGTTCTCCGTTTTATTTTTAGTATTGCCGCTTTTCAATTCGGAAAACTTGAATTTTCACCATTGACATCCACCACAAAAAAAAATTATTTCTCGTTGTTCGAACTCGCAAGAAACACCACTTTGGGTATTTAACAAAGCGTGTGCAGACTCGTGTTTTCGTCGGAAATCCGCAAGTCTGATTAAGCGACGCGCAAGTGACCTGTCGCGTCACCTGTTACCAAATTTTCAAATAGTAAATTGCTATTCTAATAGATGAATATATGCCCAGCTCTACTCAGTATCCAGTAATTATTGACTCGATTAATGTTATTCGAATAAATTTTATGTGTTATGTAAATCCTAACATAAAATCGTAATTTGTCTGATAGTTAAGTTTCGCGAAAGAGTTTGCGGCCCGCAGTGAATTTCTGGCTCGTTGCGGACTCATTCAAATGCTCCGCGGACTCATTTGAGACCGCGGACTCGGGTTGGGAAACACTGATCTAATCTAATCTAACCGGTCGTCAGTGAAAAGACCATAATGTACATCTTTCTGTTTTCAGAATCAGTAAATATAATATGAAATACTTTTTTGTTCATCAATCTCTAAACGACTTTTCATAAAATGTTTTCCTATTGTGTGTAATAGTGTTAAAATTATAGAAATTTGACATAATTGGTAAAACAATGCAACGGTAACATGAAAAAGGCCATAAAAATGGGAAATTCTTTTTTGACTCGAAAAAAGAACAATTAACCCGAAGTGTGTGTTTGAGTGAGTTTTTTTTATCTGTTGTAAATGATCATGATAACACATTCAGATCCTTAAATCGACATGCAACAGCTTCTGAAACAGTTACGGCGATTTCTCCATTTTTATTTTAAAAATATCGCCCTGGGAAAAATCCCAAGATCTGCGATAAAATCTAAGTAAATCTATAATAAAATTCCTTGTTTTTTCGTTTCTTGGTATTTTTTATAACACCGTTTTTTAGCATTCCTCTGTTGGCAATACGACTCATAAGCGACTTCGTACTGCACCACTGGCTACGTCAGTCTTTTAAATTTTTGAAAAACCGAGAAAGTCGATAAGAACTCGTGTGACTTTTAAATATAGATAATTTTGATATTTTCGATGATTGTTTACTTCAACAAGAAATACTAAGCTCAATATCAGAATATAATTAATTTGTTCGCCGGAATCTGGAATCGTGCACCCGGTGAGAAATATCCCTTATTACGCGAGCATCAGTGACCAGACGTTGAAGTAGTGGATCTGCAACTCAGATTTTCGACTGCATGACAATGCAGGGATACTAAAACTGAAAAGCGATGTTTTTAACTCGTCAATTTGGCACTTTGGGTATATTTTGTGTCAATATAACGACGTATCTCTGCTCGTAAACGAAAAATTTTATTGCGAAATAAACATTATTTTTCATTAAAACCAATCCAATTTTTTGAATTTCGTCAAAGACGACGATAAAAAAATGTTGAAATTTGTTCTGCGCATAGTACCCATTTAATTTGCATGTGAGAGAGTTATCCTGGTATCCAAATGTGTTATCTTACAAGATTTTTCTTGTAATTTTTTCAGTTTAGACCCCTTTACTCATAGCAAAACTTCTTTTTCAACTATCAATTCTGATTCGCAAATTATTCTGATTGGTTACTTTATTCCACTCCAATGATTTTCATTTATGCGTGAATAAGAATTTTTTAATATAAGTCTGGTAAACAGCCGTGGCGTGATTTACCATTTTTTAAGTTCAAATGTTTAAATAGAGAATTTTATGCAGAGTAGTAATTTATAAACATTTGGGTTCAAAATGTTTTCAAATGTTATTTGAATGTTCAAAGTGCGACTTGAGGAAAAAACCTTTGGGAACCACTGTAGTATTGCATCATACCGCACATCAACCAGTGAAGGAAGACAAATCCAACATAAAAATGCACACACCTTGTTTGTCGGAAATGTACATTCTCCCCCAAATCATCAATCTTTTTAAACAAATATTTACGTAGAAATATAATTACCTATTATACTGATTACTTTTAAAGAACATTTTAGCACTGATGCTCATTGACGGTCTGATTTATAAATCGACGATAAATTTTTAATTTCAGAAAACAATGACGCAAGAGGAGTTCAGATAGACAAAATGATTCAGGAGATGAAACGTCTGCAAGCAAAGTTACAGTCTTTCACGACAAATATGGCGACAGGTATGACAAGTGTGGCAGAACTGCATTTGGCAATTTTTTTGTTGTTTTATTTATTTATATTGAGGGTCAAAGGTGACATGTGCAGAACAGTGCGGGTTGAGAAACATGGTTGCCATTTATATATTTTCACAGAGATTATATTTCACTAATTTTTGACGATTTGGCTGCCTCATTTATACTGTAACATGATTGAAAAAAAGTGACAAATAAATTACAGTCAAAATCAAATGTAATTTCATGAATTCGCATTACAGTGTATGCTGACGTCGTCAGTGACAAAGATGAGAAAGACATAAAGATAGAAGACAGAAACTACTACGGTTGGACCCCATACGGAAAGTAAAAGTAGAATTATCCCATGCGAAATACACGGGCTTAAAAAACAGTTTATTACTGGAATGAATTTTCTCAAAAGCTGCATTATTTACTTATTATTTTCAGTGTGTTTTTGTCAACTTTTACAATACATGAATAAAAATGTGGTTGTTTTTCCGTAATGTTTGTTTGAGTATATGGAATAACATTGTTGGATATCAAGGGGTGTCCAGATCAGTATTTCAAAAATATAGAACTGCAGATGTTTACCTTAGCACCGAATCCTCTCTGAAACAAATTATTATTTAAATGCCATACATTGTGTATATGTGATAGCAAATCTGGAAATTTATTGAATGATGCAAGCTTATGTGATACTATTATAATACTTTTATTATTCGGTAAAGATTGTATACTTTTGATAGCGTTTAAATATTTTAAATAACACCGCATGCGATCTACGGCTTTCAATGTCAAGAATCTGAGCCTGACTACAAAAACTGATTTCGTGTCTTAATTAGAATATGCAGTTTAAAACAAGGAACCACATATTCTTTGATCAAATAGCAAATAATAATAATTCCTGGATTAGAAGCGTGGACACAATCTATGCCACAACACAATTTGCAATTAGATTGCACATCTGAAAAGAAACATGTGTATTTATCTCCCGCAATCTGATACCACCATTACCGCTCTATCAAATATTTTCATCTAATTTCATATGTTTTTGTCGACATCTAACGTTTCTCAGCCCACTAACACCTACAATTCGCGTATTCAGCTCAATTCCGATATGATCTCGATACGATCCCCCTCTTTTCATTTCACGGATCCATTGCATCTCAAGAATTGTCATTTGAATATTTTCGGCGTCATTGAACCCTTTGCACTCAGCATCAACTTTTCTACGTTTTGTTGCCATTTGCCTAATTATGATTGAATTAAATCCTCATTAACGAGTAATTATGAATTTTATACTTGTATAGAATATAATATAATTTAGTCTACACGTGTCTAACAATAAATTCTGTTACGTAAATAAACATAATCGTCAAAACAGTTGTTTTGTTACTATAATTCAGTGGAGCGTCGCGGGCCGGATTATGTTACTCGGCGGGCCGTAGGTTGCCGACCCCTGCTTTTCATTTACCGGTATCCCAGTCGCTTACATTTCTGAGCGCTCTTGTCCCATTTTCCGCTGCTCAACTCCACCAGCTAACCTTATCTTCTACTTCTAATATCAATACCCTATCTGTAACACCATATTTTTCTCAAACTCGCTAATCCTAACTAAAATCCCATTACTCTACATCAGAGTTATTAAATTTTAAATAAACCGCCTGATGCCACGAGGACTATGGGGTATTAGATGGCGCAACAGCGACATCTGTATATAGTATATGTCCTAATGACTGCGAGGAACTGCTAAATAATAATGATTAAGATGACTAAGCATATATACAGTGTAATCCAAGACGGTGTGCCCAGCAACGGACTTTTGGCTGAGAGAGTTGATACCGTATTTGACGAATATGTTCTGTTGAAAGGTATTGTTGAATTACCGGCTCATCAAAGTGGTGCAAAATAAGCCTGCGTTGTGGACAGTATTCCTGGGGTTGGCGAAGCATTTCCCGTCACATAGGAGAGTTTGGAGGAATGCACCTTGACCATTAAGTGACAAGTATTCCGTACAATTCATTTTATTTAGTATTTCTATTATTGCCTACCAATCAATAGTCAGGAATCATAATGGGTAGCATTCGTGATTTGATTGTGTTGTGACGATTCAAATAAACCAAAGATGTTGAGATCGATGACTTTATGACAGGTAAGATGGTATTTTAAATTAGAATTTGACTGGAAGTTTAGTTCTATTTTTATTATTTTTATCTACAATGTATTTCTTGTATCAAAAATAAAATGATGCTTGATAATGAAAACAGTCCTGTTTCGATCGTGATAACACTATACATCGTATACTAATTACAAAACCGTATCATGCAAATGATAAATATAAGCTTGTATTATCATACTCAACATATTTCATATATATAAACGTAAACGTAATTATATCAAAATATGTTTTCAGAAAAATCCACACGAGCCTTTATTTAAAACGCTAAATGTGAAAATATTTTTGAAGGCCAATCACCGTCAGCGTCACGGTCTATATGGGATTCGTTTTGTGTGTGTGATAACGCCTCAAGATTGAAAATTGCGAATCGAAGTCTGGAAGACTATGATACGGCACTCTAAAAGTTTAGATATCCGCACTACTTTGTATTGCGTGTCCATATACTACATTGCTTTCTTGTTATTCAAGTTATAATGCTCATTAACTCATTAATATCCATCTAGCGGTAAATTGATGATTTGGCAAACCTCATTAAAATATCTCTATAAGACCAACTCAATAGTCTAGAACTCATAATACATTGATATAATATTGATGTATTGCCAAATTATTCAGTATTTACAAGTGCCAATATATATATAGATAGCCCGAAATCTGATATCTGTGTTCAATATTTAATCAATTCTATCATTCTTTTCAATTTGACAATCCTGTCTTTATGTAGACTTAACTCCGTAGCTCCATTTGGCTTCGTTCCAAATAATTTCTCCCATGGTTTTTGCGCCCGCCGTCCAGCGGTAGTTACTCGATCCCAAATCGGTCCACCCGTTTTCAATACCTTCAACGGGAACCTCGTTATCGGGGCGTACGGAGTAGGTTATCGAAATTCTGTCTTTTCTCGTTTCTGAGTCGTCCGAAACGGCAACTCGATGTTTCTAGAAATTCAAATATGCACTGTCCCTTTTAGCCCTAGTGAGTGTGCATGTCCAAATTAGTGCGTCTGAAACGAATAACTCGCTAACTAATCCCATATCCGATATAGACTGGTAACTGGACGAGAGGTTGTGGTTCGCCATATGATTAATCCGTCTTATCGGTTTTCCTCTCATCGGGATAAATATGTATATCATATAATAATACATAAAATAGAAGCCAGACAAACTTCGTCAAGTGCGTATGGTGAAGTTAAACAACATTTATAGATTCTTTTACGAAGTTTTCAGATAGAATGAGTGCTTTAACATACAACTAAAATATATCAAACGTTTTTTGAATCCTTAACCTCATAAAATTTGGTGTGTGACGGGGTGCGATTTGTTACATGGGAGCATAATAGTACATTACCTTTGTAAAATATTGAAAAAACGGAAAATGAAACTATTGATACCTTTCTCAGTCTCAACTACCACCAAGTATTTAAGTGTCGCAGGCACTACTTACAATCGACCGAATCTTTCCTCCGGTACATTTCTGTATTACATCACCAGTGATCAGAAGCATACTATTCGAAACGAACGGGACATCTATGTATTCACCATTTCTGTCGAGCATCTGAAACCGTAATCCATAATCAAACAAAGCGCTATAAAACTAAAAATATTTTTCAAAAAACATCATTTTGGTTTGATTTTTGAATTGGTATCAGTAAATCTATAAGGGTATATAGGAAGAGCACATCAAAATTGTCAATTACCTGTAATCCACCTTCAGTATTTTGAAATATAAATGTAACAAAAGTGAGATCAGTGTGTTCAACAAGTCTACAACTTCCCTGTGGTAGTTCTTGATTATCATCAACCGGTGGATAATGATTTATTCGAATCATTGTGTAGTTTCCTGATTGATTCATTCGACTAGTCAGCTTTCTAAAATATTGCTGATCCTGGTAAAAAAAATTTGAGTGAAAAACGTGCAATTTTATTATTTGGATATTTTCTATTAATATTTTTATGAACTATTTATTATGCTCTCTATTTTAATCCTATATACTTTTAAAATCACCTGCAATTTCATTTCTTGCGCAAGAATATCCATCATGAAGTTTGCCAGTTTGTGAAGTTTTTCCCCGAGTTGTTTAATGTTTTTGGAGAACTCTGGCGTATATTTGTCGGAAGGCCAATTTATATTAGGCGAAGAGAATCCTGTCCCAGTAAGATATAAAGCCTCTTTCCCCTTTGGAACAACGTGACGAAACTTCCTTATACAAAAAAAGTAAGAACATAATTCCAATAGAAAATAAATAACAACTAGAACAACATCCACAAGTTTTGTCTCACCATCTCTATAGGGCTTTGAGTTAGAAGTAATATATAACCTCAGTGGCTCGAAACCCGTTAGTTGATGTTCGATTTTTTCAGGAGGTTCGCGCGGACCTGCTCTTGGATTGTCGTGATATCAGCGATTTTTGATATTTGTTTTAGATATTAGATGACCTTAACCTTAGTAAGTTGTGTGCACCGTATCTGACAACTATAGCGTATACATATTGAGGGAATTTTGTTAGAGAGTTCGAGACGAAATAGATTTCGTTCTTACAATTTTGAATTCAACCACAAGATACGTCCATCGGTCCATGTATATGTAATGCTGTCATATCCAAGCTTGTGTTGCTTTGACTGCACTAGACCGATTAAATATATATATATATATATCAATACGATTGCCTGTTGAACTACAACCCTTTTTCCATCGACAGAATGTTGTGTGCTCTTTTACAGATACTACAATGGAATGTGTTTTTTCGAATTTTTGAAACCTGTCTTTCCGAAAAATGTTTTCAGCCGTTTAACTGGACTGACTGTAAACTTTCACCTGTTTATTGTCCGTGTATCTACCAGACAAAATAACGTGCGCTATACGTTCATTCCAAACTGGGCGAGTTAGTGTGACTTGACGTGCATAAACGTGCATTTTCTTATTAAAAATCAGTTTTAGGGTTTGTGTACGATCAATCTATTTAAATCATTCCAATTCCAAAAAACATAGGAAATCGTTACAATGTGGTCGGCGATGTGAGATATTTCGAATAATATTTCACTTCTATGACTACTAAGTTATGGCCTATGAGAGTAGCGCAAATTTACATATACAAAAATGTTTTGCGTTGAACTTACATGTCGCCGTCAAACGGTACATAACCAACAAAATCCTGATCCAATCGATACTTCAATTTTATATCGTTATCCAGATGGAAAAATGCGCTTGCATTTTCAAAAACATTTGCAATTTCTGACCTGAAATAATATAAAATGATATATAGTACAAAACGAGGAATTGTCGGTTCGATTATTTGTTAAGTCTCTGAGTGCAACAAGTTCTAGGATAAAATGTGACATGTCAGAGATAAAAAAAAAATTACCTTCCAATTCCGCAGTTTTGAATGCAAACATAACCTTTAGTAGATAACGCTTCGTATATTTTTTCACTAACAGCTTTCATACTTTGTTTTGGAGCTTCATGTTCCACCGGATTGAAATTTTGAAAATCAACTATTGTGAGTTCGTCTCTGTCAGTCATGGCGTTACTTCAAGTTAAATTACATAAATTGAGAATACATAAACTCTATTAACATAAACAATATTAGAACATACATTTTAACCGTGTTGATAATCATTCACTATCGAAATACATATAGAGAAGGGTCCTTTTTTCATTACTAGTTAGATCAAAATTAGCGAATTATCTCCGCCCGACTCCGTAAAGTCAATAAACAAACAATATCTCTACTACCAAAATATCTTGTAAAGTTTGACAATCAACTTGAATTATTCCGATAGCAGAGAATGAAATACTCCTAAGTATTAGATACAAGTACACAGAATGAATACGGAATCACGAATACACAATATTACAATATCACGAAAAATACAAACACTCAGCTATTGAACGAAGGCAGGAAATACTCTATTACTCTTATTCGTAGAAAAATTCCATATAGGAAATGGAATAGACACAACAAATAAAAAGCTACAACGAACATGCACTATTGGCAATAAGCGGCTGAAAATCATGGGTACTCAGTCTTTCAATATTCTTTTTTTTAATAACATTTTTAAAATATCATCATTCGAAATTTATTTAATGAAGTGTTTCATGGTTCATGTTTTTCTAGTTACTTGGTAGGTAATTGCAGCAATGTGCAAGAGCTTGTGAATCTCAAAACATTGTCGTTCTGCATTAATGACACACCACATTATTCGGAGGGAAGGGCCGAGCATCTTACTACCACAGAAAATAAACACTCTTTTGTATTTTTGGTAAGATTATTCGCGTATATTCTACAATCATTTTATGATGTCACTTACTGGTAGGGATGTAAGTTTCAAATATTTTTTTTGCGAATCGATTTTCGAATCACAATGTTCCGATTCGAATATTTCCGAATCTGATTCTATTTAGTATATCATCATATTATCGTTAACTTTCTTCAAATTTGGAGGAAATATAGTATAAATTTTGATAAAAATAATAATAATGAGCGTAAAAAGTGAATGAAGTTACTAGAAAAACATATTGCATGGATTTATCGACTATCAAATATATTCGACTGGGATTTATTTTTTGTTACAAAGAGGGTTACATATTTATTTACATACAATACCGGTTGTCTAGTCTCTATTGATTGTTTCTTCTAAGATTGACCTTCAAAGTACATCTAAATGATAAATGCTACTTAGTACCGTTTGCGTCATGCTTTTAAAAGAAGCAATGATAACGAAGGATGCATCGTAGACTTGTTTTTCAATAAGGTATAAGGCAGGGGTGGCCAATCTGCTTTCGACCACGATCGACTGATCGTTAATATGGTTCTACACAAAAACGAATGGGTACTGAATATGCAGATAACTGCACACACGCACATACAAAAAAATCCACTGGTGCCAATAAGAAGGCTTTGTGGGCACAATGTTATTAAATTCGACACAAAGTTTGAATTTTTATGTTCCATTCAAGTTGTTGATTTGATTATTCAATTGTACCCACAGTAAATGTTTCATCATTTATATAAGATTTATTAAAACCACACAATTCAGATATGAGCGTGCCTAATTTTTAGTCGTATGTGTTGATAATTCTTCAAGAAACCTTGCCAAGTATTCATGTATTACCCAAACAGTGAAAAATAAATACTCTCAAACAATGAATGTTACATGACTGCTCAAACTTCAGTATAATATCTAACTTTTAATTTCCTCCAAATGCAATTCTTCGCTTGCTTAGAATTGGAACAAATTGGGCATTTGGATGCCACTGCTGCCATTGCGAAATAAATTTATCACACTACTCGTGACGTGAGACAATAACTTTCACATACTGCGGAAGGTATTGTAGGATCGTTTGTCAGTCTAGTCTAGACACGCTAGTGTTCCGCGGAACACAGTTTGGAAAACGTTGATCTAGAATCTAGATGAACGTTTAGGATATTAAATTATTTGTGAAACTTTGTAACATTTGAAGTAGTCGAACAAAATTGAGCGAAACCATTGGTCCCTCTCAAGCTGCTGCTACCAACATGAAATATAACAACTCTGGGAGTGTTACGACTTTGGAAATCTGTAAACGTAAAGTAATGAAACAGCTGCGTCGTGCAATTGCCCTGTGTTATCTATGTAATACTTTTTTAAATCGAATCAAGCCTCTTTTTCCTAAATTGCTTCGAATCGATTTTAATTGATGTTGATTCGAATCGCTTCGATTCGAAATTCTGAAACTTACATTCCTACGTCACTAGCAATCTTTTAAAACTCGCCAATGACCAAATCTTAATAAAATTTGAATAATATATATATATATATTATTCTTAATAAAATGAACAAATCTTGATGAAATTTGAATAATTTAGATATACTGTATATATATATATGAGTTCTATTTATTTGTGGTGATTTAAGATCAGTATTAACACACGCCCAAAATAAAAACTCTCAAATACCTAGAGTTTACCTTGAGTGATGTGGAATATAAATAAAATCAGTGTGCTCAACGAGACTACACGTCCGCGGTGGCAATTCCAAGTCATGATTAAGTGCTGGATGATTATTTCGAATCATTGTGTAAGAATCTTAGGAAATTTCAATATCCAATGTTTCATTACCTGGTCGCATGTCTCCAAAATATCAAGAGTTTGCCTTGATGTTCTAATTTCCTGATTTAGTGTTAGTGTGTGAGTTAAAATGTCGGTGGGTGCAAAAGTATATATGTGTGCTAAAATCGGTACTCCCGAAGTATGTGAACCAAGATGGCGAACAATGGAACGTATTGTCTGTACCAGGTTAGGGTTAGGCCATAATTTCGGGTACAATTACTATGAAAGAAACTTGGCTAGTCCCCGAACTCGTAATAGAACTAAAATAATCCGTTGTCTGCCATCTTGGTTCACATACTTCGGGAGTATCCTAAAATCTGCGGGTGCAAACGTCTGGGTGCAAATGTTCGAGCGTGCAAAATTTTACAGGTGCAAATGTAACGGTGCAAAGATGATGAAACCATCATCAAATCTTGTAGCCAACACATTTCGGTACGGACGATAGGCTATTTATATAGGGCACTCTCGTACGCATCTTTGTTTGTTTCTGTGACGAAATACTTGGAGTTAACGCTGTTTTAACGCGTTATGAGCAAAATGAATATATACATATGATTCAAGCGAGGCAAATCTCAGACAATAGCAGTGGAACATATGCTCCAGAGGCGCTGGGTCCAATGGGTTCTGCCCGATGGGTCCAAACTCGGCAGTGGTCAATTAGTTTTTTTTTTTATTGCTGTCTTGGCCGATGAGCTTTCAGGGTAAAGAAGTTTGAAATGAACGTAAGAGAAAAAGTTTGTTTGCTTATCGTTTAATCTTTGAAACCGCTTAAGAGAAGATTTGCGATTGTTTGTATTTTGGCGTCACTGGTAATTAATTGGATAGCTGATAGAGCTTGTAACCATTCGCGTACGAAAGATATTGGATTGTTTGTCTAAAAAGGATTAGTGCAAGTGAAACGATTCAGATTGTTTTTTATCAGAAGTAATTTGTCTGTTATAAGCAAACTAATTGCTTACTCGCCGTGGGAGAAAAATTGCAAGTATTTGCGCTGCGCATTTGGGTTTTGAAAAACATAACTCGACAATCAAATCAATGGACATGGACATTTGAGTTCGAGTTATGATTTTACATTTTTGCTTTGTAGAATGGATATAGACTTTTAACAGAGGAATAGAAAAATCGTAGGTGGGACTTCTGCATTTTAAGGTAGTATTATATTAACTGAATATGAAAATCTTTATATGGCCATAATTTGCCAAATGTGAAAGATATTTAATGGTCGGCAATGAGCGATTAAAATTATTTAATCGTTCATACCACATGATCGCTGGAAATCACTGGGTTTTAGACATTTTTAGCCATTAGAATCGGTGTATTAGATTAGATTAGATTTTTTGATAGTCAATTATGACTGTTGTTTATCTGTATGAAAATCATCGTTTCAGCTTTTTGGTATCTATGTAGAATCAATACATTAATTTTTGATATTGGGGTATGGAATTTCTTCCAGTGCACATGGTCGAATATTTGAGCTTTCGCATGTATTTTCGGAGATAAAGATTACTGATTTTCATGAAGTTGTTTTTATGTTGGTATTTACAGAATTTTTGATAGTATGTTTATTATTATTGCGGAATAGTGCGTCTTTATAATCGGAATGAAGGTATTTTGTCGTTTTAATTTCATCTTAATGGGTACGAGTTATATTGTTGGATTTTTTTTTTCAGGGTTTATAATCGTATGTTTATATCTTGATATATTTGCACAGAGATAATAGGAATTGGTGGATTTTTGATGTTTCTTACCGTGGTGTTTACATGGAGGTATTTTATCGTGTATGGTAAACATGTTGTTCCGTGTAATTCCAATGCGCTCAAAAATAACTTTATAAAATTTACCTGTATGGAGGTATTGCGTGAAGTATACTGTACGGAGTTTTTGATAAATTTTTTAATTTTTTTCAATTTTGCGAAGTTCTTTTTGCAAGCTGTATATTTGAATTTTACATTATTGCTTGTGCGCAACCGTAGTTTTTCTGTAATTCCAATGCGCTTAAAAATACGTTTACAAAATTCACCTAGCGATGTTTTGTTACTCTGTTATAGAGTCGCAAAATAGCCTGTGATTAAAGTGTGTATGTTAAAAACACTAATTTTTATTTTTGTGATATAGATCATAACAAAATTTACCAATTTTGTTTGATACAATAAGTAGATAGATATATTTGTTTGTTATGTTTCATGGTGTTCATACATTGAATGATTCATTAGCATTCGATAAAATCTGGGTTGGACTTAATTACTTACTAATAATTAATGTGTTTCATCGCATGGGTACATTATTGTGAAAATTTACTAATCATTAAACATCGGGGTTAGGAGTATTCCACACAATGTGATTGGCGCTAACTACAGATAAACGAAATCAGTTACGTTGTGTTGGTTTACAGCGGAAATTGAAAAAAGTGTAGTAGAAGAGTAGAATGAGTTATTATAACAACGATCAACTTGAAATTTTTGCAGTGACAATAATTTATGTTTTAAAATGTCCTGATGAAATTTTATAATATTTCTCTTTTACTGCGGTGGGATGATTTTTTTTCCCGAAAACGTTCATTCACCACGAGGATTTCGTTACATTGTACCCCGAAAGAGATGGATGCTCATCATGGTTTTAGTATTATGTTGAAGACATTTAATTTTTATTTAATGTGAATGTAAAAATCTTAAATTCATATTTTGCACCCCGCAAAGCAAAACTTGGTTCCTCATACAGCGTTCCCTCTTTTTTTGGTTTAATATTTGTTCACTTAAAATATAGGTTTTAATATAGGCCTAAAATTAACATTGTATCTTACTTGAATCGGAGTTTAAAATGAGAAAATTAATATTTGAATGATGAGACAATCGTAAAGGTAAAAATGTTATGCAGTAAAACGCTTTTTCGGACACGAAATAGATCTCTGTATCGTTTTGTTATTATGTTGTTGTTGTTTGTTCCTCTTGGTGTTTGTATTTCTTTTTCTTGTAGAGAAACAAACCGATTTTCTCGTTAACTACTGTGTCAATTACTTTGTAATTTCCGTGATTAAAGATTGTTTTTGTTTCTACAAAGCTATGACTTTTATTTATTCCTAAATTATTTGCGAGGTCTGATATTTCATTTAATACAAAGAATTTGTAAATAATTCAATAGAACGATCGATGCATGGAGAACATCTCAATTTGAATTTGAAATATCTGCAAATTTTTCACGATTCAAGACCCATGAAATTCTCTGGATGTTCAACTGCTTCTGCAAGATGAAGTTGTACATTGATTCCTTTTTCCATGAGTTCGTTCCACATCATGGTGACTTGAGGAATTGTTGGATTCATAGTTGGGAAGCCAGCCCAGACAACCCATTCATCTGAAATATATTTCAAATTGGATTTAATAAATGATGCAGAGGTGAAGTGCTGAGACTAAGATGCTGATATATCGTACTTTTCATGTTTAATAGGCAATACAACCAGAATCAAATTGAGATACTCTAAAATAGTTTTGAGTGACAGCACTTTTTGTTCAACACAAACAGACTTTTATGGAAAGACATTTTACATTCTGTAAGTTCAAACATATTTATGGTGCTTGTTAAGCTTTATTACACTGCATTTGCTGAAAACAGCTCAAATACTCCGACATTCACTGTAGTTTCAGAATTAATTTTGAATACCAAACTTTGATTTATCATTGTTTGTAAATATTGGCAACACAGTGATAGAGTAAGGTTTTTCATTTATTGTTAATAGGAATAGAGAGGGATTATGACAATATATTGCAATGTGATGGTGATGGCCTGGAATAGACCTTATTCATTAAAAACCCATCCTACGCGCGAAAAGTGATGTAAAAATTTTTTTTTTAACATTAGCTCTTATGGGGAATGTGATCACCAGAGCAGAAATTTGCATTTTTTGTAATTTTCTAGATATCTTTCAATGTAGACGTGAGCAGTTTTGAAGATAGAATATTTTTTCCTTTTTTTTTGATATTTTTATCATGATAAACATGGTCAAGATTTTTGATAATCGTTCATTAAAATTTTAATGAGCGCGGTGTTTCCGATGGCGTCATTCTCACTAAACCATGAGATTCTGCCAACGCGCCGTGCTCTGTGGGATATGCGCTGCAAATGCAACGCTAATGTCGCTTTGGGAACGGTACCGGTACTGGAAGCGTTTAACATTGACAATCTATAACATTGACAATCTATAACTATAAGCAATCATTTACTGAATGCATGCTGACGTGTTATTTAAACTACCGGTACCGTACCAAGGCTGCAAGAGGTGAAAACTAAATTATTTAGTAAATACTGAAATAGGCCTAAGAACAATAGGCTACAAAAATGTTGGCCATCCTGTCAATAGGCAGGATAAGTTGTACGGTACCGGTATACAAAAAAGATGAATATCTCCAACCTATAATGGTACAATACCGGTCTCCTAACTAGGTTAAAAACATGACTGAATACGAGAGAGAGATTTATTTTGTCAACCAGAATACATTGTACAGTTGTATCGACAACAATTATATACAAAACTCACAGTTATTCGGTATAGACTGGGGAGCGATACGACCATCACCGTCAGCTCCCCCCTGCCCCCCATGTTCGCTATCAAGATTACCAGTAAATTAAGATGTTTGAACAATCAAAAACTCCTTGGAGGAAGGGTTTACTAAGTTACGGAACATTTTTGGATTCGGTTAAAAATGTAGTCCATTATTAAACCACTGCTTTTTTTGTAGATTTTCACTTAGTGGACACTTGGCAAAAACGACAGTTAATTTACAAAAAAAAATTGTAAATAATAACAAGTCAGCTCGGGTATTCACACATGTGATGATTGAAGTGAGAAAAAAATTTGAAGTCACGTTTAGGATATTACATTAAACAACAATGGAAAATGTACATTGGAATCAGTCAAGCTTCAAATGCTAATGGCATTAATGAAAAGAATATGCGAAATGAAGACTGAAGTTTCCATCTGAGACATTGGAAGTCGCTAAAACCTTATAGACTTGATAGTGTGGAAAGCCTTCTCACAATGCAGTAATAGTGGGACATATATTTATAATATCATTATACAGGCTTTAATTTGAACTATATGTTTAATTAAAATATTTATCTTTGCTAATAAATGCTGAAAACCATTAATTTCAATCTGCTGAGTGATTAGGGCCAGAAGCTTGCTGTAGGGACCATCACCAGGGCTGGATTTCTGGATTTACCAATAGGCTAGGCAGGCTGAAACCTAGAGCCTCAAAATTCGGTTTCGAAGTTTGTAATTCTTTTGAAAACTTGACAAGTTTGAACCCTACGAAAAGTATATATATATATCAAGCTTTTCAGAGTAGAAAATTCTGTACACAACTGGTTTCAACCACATTGTAAACAGCCATTATTGCGTCGTTTGCATCATAATAAGGGAAATTATTATTATGCGCATTCTGCTGGCTGTAGCGGTTGTTTGATCAAAAAAATTGAAAGCAAAACTGCCTCAAGTAAATTTTTATTCTTCTAATTAAAAATTCACACCCATGAAGGGGGAGAATGAAAAGTTTAATGCACTCATGTTTTTAAATTTTAAGCAATTAAATGTGGTGTTGTTCAGAGAAAAACTCCGAGCTCAAAAATATGAAGGGGTCTCTCATAGTCTAAATCCAGCCCTGAACATCACCAATTTCGGGATAGGTACATGGTGTCAACATATGAACTGAGTTAGGCCATTGGATTTTGAAAGTTGTACCAGAAATGTACATAGTTACATGGAATTCATGAAATATATAACATCCAATAAAAACCAAAATAGGTCTTTCGTTGAACGCAAGTTGTGGTCCCAGTACCGGTATTCCAGTATTCTGTTATCACAAGCAGTTGGAGCGCATATCCCACAGAGCACGACGCGTTGGCAGAATCTCATGGTCTAGTGTGAATGACGTCATCGGAAACACCGCGCTCATTAAAATTTCAATGAACGATTATCAAAAATCTTGACCATGTTTATCATGATAAAAATATCAAAAAAAATGTAAAAAATATTCTATCTTCAAAACTGCTCACGTATACAATGAAAGATACCTAGAAAATTACAAAAAATGCAAATTTCTGCTCTGGTGATCACATTCCCCATAAGAGCTAATGTTAAAAAAAATTTTTTACATCACTTTTCGCGCGTAGGATGGGTTTTTAATGAATAAGGTTCTATTCCAAGCATTTTTATATATGTGTATACCTGAAAGACTGCAAAATACATTTATCAAGTAATTCTTCTCATCACTTAAAATCAAAACATCACCATTGAACATTGCATAATCTAAATATAAAAAATAAAGTTGCGAAGATTTAGGCAATAGCATTTCACATCTATAGGTAATAGTAATTTTACCAATTTTTGCTGCATCTTCACTTCTTCCACCCTTTGGTGTTAAGGTGTGTGACGTTAGAACAGCCGATTCTATTTGAAAATTGAAATTATACTTTTTTACTGATATATTATGCAAATTTTTAATAGAAATCTACTAATTGATATAAAATATATACCATCACTCTTTTTGGGCTCATAGACACCTGCTCTCTTTGTTATCAAATGAACTGTCATAGTTTGTGAATGAGAACTAAAATATAAAGGTTGCATTGAATCATAGTTAGCTCCATTTTTAGTCTAATATTTTTTCTATTTAATATTTATTTAAAGTTTAACTAGGGCACAATTATGTCCAATAACTCGAATATGAATTCTGGTTATTTATTTGAATAAAATATCTAACTTCTGATGTAGTTCTGTGATCATCATGCTCACACCTGTTCTTGTTCTGGTAAAATTCCTGAGTTTTACACCACCTACATCTTTTCCCATCACTGGATCATTGGTATGTAGAACCTCATACCAGGCATCAGGAAACTGCCAAGGAAAGGCATAGTAAATGCACATGAATATAACTGATCTGATATTATTTCTGGGTTATGGCGATCTCAGCTTTTACAGATTATGATGACTGTTTCAAACAAATGTTGACTGATTCTACTTGATGTCTGAATATATTTGTGATCATGCTAAACACAGCGTGTTGTAATATGTAATATTTCATCACACATAAAATAAATATGATGTTTTATGTATTTTCAATCTAAAGTTACAAATCATATGAATCAGTTCCAAAGGTATTAAAAAGTGCAAGCATCATATGTTTCTAAGTAATAATAGTCTTCAAAATCATCTTAGACAATGGTAAATTCTGATAAAACTTTCAGAAGATAATAAAGGATACCTGTTTTTTTTGTACATTTGCTCAATTTTCCCCAAATTTCCTCAATGAATGGATTGTTGGAACTTGGAAGCATTAAGTTGACAAAGAATAGCTTTTAATTCAATTCATATACCACATCCTTTTGCTATCCAGGAAAAACAATATTCAAATCCTAAGATAGATTGATTTCAAAAGCAGTATCTTCTTACTTTTGTCTTTGTCAAAATTTTTTAAAAAGTGTAGTGACAAAATAAGTGGTGTTTTATCCATATGAAAATCGGAAGTGTTTTTTCTCGGAGTATATACATGCCTTATCCCAGTCAATTTCTCCAACGTTCTCTGAAATTTTGCATTGTTCTGCCTGGTTAATCTCGAAGCTCATAGCAAACGAAAAATTTCTTTTCTAATCTGCTAAATTTTAATTTTGAAAACTACAAAATAAAATCTTTATCATGACCTAACCTAAATAATTTATTTAGTATAATACTCCTTTGTGTAAAATGCGGTAACCATTCTAGCTTTCAAACCAGATGCATCTTGTAACAAGAAAAGTTCCTGCTGCACAACAACCTTGTTGTTTTAAAAGAGATATTTTTAAGAAATCAAAAATAACACAAGTTATTACTTATCGATTTTAATCGGTAAGTATGTTGATAGGTATTTGTCTGTCTGTATGACTGGTATGTCTGTTAGATGCACGCGATATCTCACGAAAGCGAGATTGAATCTGCTCCAGATTTTGCATGTGCATTCATCTTATCTCGGACCAGAAGCCTATTGAATTTGGGCGAAATATGTCGTATAATTAGCGAGTTATCATTTTGAGACCCGCCGAGTGTGTGTGAGCGATGCGCAGTGCGCAAGTTACAAGAGCGGATGAATCGAAACTGCAGTTTCTGTTTTGGGGGATCCCCTAACCATCTATCGATAAGTCTTCGGTTTCCAAACGATATTCTCGTCTATTTTTTATTTAATAAATTGTTCTACATCCAAAATATGCAAATTTATGTTAAAATCAATATTTTGTTAATAAACAATATCTTTGTTATTTGAGAAGTAATGTCATTTCAGTTGTAGGTTTTCAGTAAAACTAAATTTGATTGTATGCATTTGCATAACGAACGGAATACATAGATACATGGTAAACACCCACATCTGAAATCAAAATATTAGCAGCATTATCATTCGGAACCGATGGAAATCTCTGGATGTTCCACTGCTTTTGCAAGGTAAAGTTGTACATTGTTTCCTTTTTACATGAGTTCGTTCCACATCAGGGTCACTTGATGAATTGTTCGATTCATAGTTGGACAGACAACCTATTCATCTGAAATACATTTCCAATTCGTTTTACGGAATGTTCCATGCGAAACATTGAAATTATGACATATCTCTGTGGTGATTCATAACCTATTAATATTATTGTAATAAATTCATGACTAATGAATATTTGGTGGAAGATATATATACAGGGTGGCCCAAAAGTAGGTATACGTTATTAAAATAATTATACAGTAAAATAGTTTAAGAACTGTATACCTACTTTTGGGCCACCCTGTATGTTGGTTGCCTGCATAAATCTTCCACCAAATATTCATTAGTACCTTGTGTGGCTTCTGTTTATTTTTCTGATCGATGATAATTTTTGTGAAGATCATTTTTGTTTACACGGAGATTTAGCAGCAAAATACTGTAGCATTTGATAGCTTAATCTCTGTCACTGTCACTCTGATTTTTGATGGTAAAATAAGCATTGATATCATTACCATAATCATTTGCTCAGGAATTTATATCGATTGGAGCCTAGAACGCATCAAAGCTTTCCTTGAAGCTTCACTCTTTACTGTCCAAATACTTCTTTCATTAAAACTTCTCAAAGTCATTATTGACAATAATATAATTATGTTCACTCTATGAGGTAGTCTGAATGAAGCAATTATTTCTATAGTTGTTCTTAAATGATGTATGATGATTATAAAGTATAATGCGGTGTCAAATACTTGTGATTTAATAAGTTTATTTCTAATGTGTGTTTCAATGCAACCCAAAAAATTTAATTTTTTTTTCAAGAATAAGCTTTTTAATTTTATACACCAATGCCAATAGATTTTACCAAATATTCATGGTATTATTTGATTGCCACTCTCCAACCAACGCCTGTTAGATTATATTTTCATAAAAAGTTTCTGCAACTTGAAACAGTGCTGTATATAAGGTTTATTTCTGGTTAATATGTGGAGTAATATAAATCTGTATTATAATGTAGTTGGTGGTTGATTCAGGCTGTTTTGGTAAAGTATAGTTGTACGTGTATTCCTTTTTCCATGAGTTTATTCCACATTAAGTTGACTTGATAAATTGTAGGGGTTATGGCTGGAAACATTGCCCAGACAATCCATTCACCTGAGATATGTTAAGAATGCATATTATGGGGATGAGATTTTGCCAGTGGCGGCGCGTCAATAATGCCCCGGTTGTTTTTTCGGTATAATAAAAAATATTCGAAAATACCTCAATATCGGTTGCACAGACTGTCTACACTAGCCATATTCTCCCGACATGGTTCATTTTTCGCTCGCAAAGCCTTCGCCGAACGTCGACGGGGCGACGCCGATTTTGCCCCGGTTGCTCATTAGGCTTACCGCTGCTTGTCAGCAGGGAACCTATTGTATTCCTGTGTTTTATTATTAGGCTTCCCGCTGCTTGTCAGCAGGGAACCTATTGTATTCCTGTGTTTTATTATTATTATTTATTATTATTATTTATTATTATTATTATTTTTTTTTCAAATTGGTCCTACAAACTTGAAATTCACCTCAAATGTGCAGAAGTTCTCAGCTAGCAATAAAATGCAAATTTTATGCATGAGTGACCACGCTTTCACGCTCCAGTGAGCAAAACGCGTTTTCAGTTTTTTTGCGATTTCTCAAAATTGATACATGGTATTGGGTTGAAATTCATAACAATGATTAATGGACATGTTCCGGATACGACATGTCAAGGATACGTATGAGTGACCTCGGCGATACGCTCCAGTGAGCAATATAGGATTTAACATTTTCATCTTCTTCTCGAGAACGACACTACTTAGAGACTTGAAATTTACATCGCATGCAGATAATAAGTCCCCCATCATAAATTGCAAATTTTATGCATGACTGACCACGCTTTCACGCTCCAGTGAGCAAAACGCGTTTTCAGTTTTTTTGCGATTTCTCAAAATTGATACATGCTATTGGGTTGAAATTCATAACAATGATTAATGGACATGTTCCGGATACGACATATCAAGGATACGCATGAGTGACCTCGGCGATACGCTCCAGTGAGCAACATAGGATTTTACATTTTCATCTTCTTCTCGAGAACGACACTACTTCGAGACTTGAAATTTACATCACATGCAGATAATGAATCCCCCATCATAAACTGCAAATTTTATGCATGACTGACCACGCTTTCACGCTCCAGTGAGCAAAACGCGTCTTCAGCTTTTTTTACGCGGGAAGCCTGTTAAAGCTGCACGCAGCTCTAGTTATTTATTAAGCTTCCCGCTGCTTGTCAGCAGGAAACCTATTGTATTCCTGTGTTTTATTATTATTATTATTTATTTATTATTATTATTAGGCTTCCCGCTGCTTGTCAGCAGGGAACCTATTGTATTCCTGTGTTTTATTATTATTATTTATTATTATTATTTATTATTATTATTATTTTTTTTTCAAATTGGTCCTACAAACTTGAAATTCACCTCAAATGTGCAGAAGTTCTCAGCTAGCAATAAAATGCAAATTTTATGCATGACTGACCACGCTTTCACGCTCCAGTGAGCAAACTGCGTATTCAGTTTTTTTGCGATTTCTCAAAATTGATACATGGTATTGGGTTGAAATTCATAACAATGATTAATGGACATGTTCCGGATACGATATGTCAAGGATACGCATGAGTGACCTCGGCGATACGCTCCAGTGAGCAATATAGGATTTTACATTTTCATCTTCTTCTCGAGAACGACACTACTTAGAGACTTGAAATTTACATCACATGCAGACAATAAGTCCCCCATCATAATTTGCAAATTTTATGCATGACTGACCACGCTTTCACGCTCCAGTGAGCAAAACGCGTTTTCAGTTTTTTTGCGATTTCTCAAAATTGATACATGCTATTGGGTTGAAATTCATAACAATGATTAATGGACATGTTCCGGATACGATATGTCAAGGATACGCATGAGTGACCTCGGCGATACGCTCCAGTGAGCATTATAGGATTTTACATTTTCATCTTCTTCTCGAGAACGACACTACTCAGAGACTTGAAATTTACATCACATGCAGATAATAAGTCCCCCATCTTAAATTGCAAATTTTATGCATGACTGACCAAGCTTCCACGCTCCAGTGAGCAAAACGCGTCTTCAGTTTTTTTTACGCGGGAAGCCTGTTAAAGCTGCACGCAGCTCTAGTTATTTATTATTATTATTATTTTTTTTTCAAATTGGTCCTATAAACTTGAAATTCATCTTTCAGTTTTCATATTCAGTTTTTTTGCGATTTCTCAAAATTGATACATGGTATTGGGTTGAAATTCATAACAATGATTAATGGACATGTTCCGGATACAATATGTCAAGGATACGCATGAGTGACCTCGGCGATACGCTCCAGTGAGCAATATAGGATTTTACACTTTCATCTTCTTCTCGAGAACGACACTACTTAGAGACTTGAAATTCACATGACATGCAGATAATAAGTCCCCCATCATAATTTGCAAATTTTATGCATGACTGAACAGGCTTTCACGCTCCAGTGAGCAAAACGCGTCTTCAGTTTTTTTGCAATTTCTCAAAATTGATACATGCTATTGGGTTGAAATTCATAACAATGATTAATGGACATGTTCCGGATACGATATGTCAAGGATACGCATGAGTGACCTCGGCGATACGCTCCAGTGAGCAATATAGGATTTTACACTTTCATCTTCTTCTCGAGAACGACACTACTTAGAGACTTGAAATTTACATCACATGCAGATAATAAGTCCCCCATCATAATTTGCAAATTTTATGCATGACTGACCACGCTTTCATGCTCCAGTGAGCAAAACGCTTCTTCAGTTTTTTTACGCGGGAAGCCTATTAAAGCTACACGCAGCTCTAGTTATTATTATTATTATTATTTTTTTTCAAATTGGTCCTACAAACTTGAAATTCACCTCAAATGTGCAGAAGTTCTCAGCTAGCAATAAAATGCTAATTTTATGCATGACTGACCACGCTTTCACACTCCAGTGAGCAAAACGCGTATTCAGTTTTTTCGCGATTTCTCAAAATTGATACATGGTATTGGGTTGAAATTTATAACAATGATT